AATAATAATAACTACTGTTTATCGAGTACCAAGTATTTCTAAGAACTGTGTGATGTGCATGTGTATCTACATAGAATACATATATAAAATAATCATTTATGTGCTGTATCATTTATACATTGTATCACTGGATCTTCAAATATGAAGCGGAGGCTCAGAGAGGTGAAGTAATCTGCCCAGCCTTAAAAACTGTTAAACATTGGTGTTAGTCATCTTAAGGTCAAAAAATCTACTCCAAACTCTGTAAAATGGAGAAGAATGGTCTAGAAGGTAGATGATTACTTCCAGTTATAAAGTACTTGGGTATAAAGTAATTAGGTATAACTTCCAGAAAGATATCTTGACATCAGTTCTGAGTGCTTATGTAAGTTTAACCAAATCATTTGTGCTGTGTCCTTTGCACCACTGGTAAATGGTGGCATACCAGTCATAGTATGTTCCTGACGTTTGTTATTGGAGCCCTTTAGCTTGGCTGTGAAGTATGGTGGGAAATGGGAAAGAAAAATAAAACTAAACTTTTGAGTTAAACAAAAAAGACAAAATGTGTCCAAATCCCAGCCTTCCCTCTTCTAGCTTTATGACTTAGGGCAAGTTTTTAAGTCTCTCTGAGCTGAAGTTTTCTAATCCGAAAAATGAAGTTGATGATGGTGATGATGGCGATGATGATGGTACCACCTTCCTCATAGGGTTATTGGAGGAATAGATAATGCCTAACACATTATAAGCCCATATACTTGTTGCATATTATTATTGGTCATTATAAATCCTTTAGATTATCATGACATCATGTTTTCCCCATAGAATGAGTACAGCTCTTGTACAATTTTATTTTTTAATTCTTTGAGACAATGGGTATTTTCCTCTGGACCAAGCTATCTCCCAAAAAAGGTGTTGAGGAATAAGTGAAGTGTTAAGAATGCTATTACCTATGTTCTTGTCCCTTGTATAATGAAAAGTAAAAAGCCAGCCTTTTATCAAAGCACAATGCTAAATGACAGCCCAGCCCAAGGACCACTTGGCTAATTAGCACACTTGCATTCCAGGATTTCCTGACTCCCCGCTGCCACTTGTTGTCAGCTCCTTGAAACTGCAGAAATTTGCCTCTGCAGGTGTGGAGAGCGTGCTTGAATTACTTAGGGTGCATGAGAGAGCAAATTATTTAGGCAATAGAGCTGAAAATGTGGGCAAATTAGAATTTTTCATAGCAAGATTGTGCATTGTTAAGCCAATTCGTGATTATATGTGTGCGTCTTGCTTCAGATATTCTGCTACACAATAAACCTCTTTGCTGCGATGAATATGTATGTGGACTAATTTAATCAATATACTTGTGACAGTAGTGGTGTCTGACAGAACTCATCCTTTGAAATGCTGGCTGAGTTAATGTGTGCAGTATATATATGGGCCAAGACTCATAATTTGTGTTAAAAGAAGATTATTTTGAAAAGACACAACACTGACTGTTAGAAAATGAAGAAGCCTGAGGGATAGAAAGCAAAGGGCAAAAGGGATTTTTGTCCTTTTCCCTCTTACTGGTCTGAAACCTCAAGTGCAAAGAACTAAACTGCTTTCCTTTTGAAAAAATTTTGCAAGGCATTTTTTTCCCTCATTGATACATTTGAATTCTGTGAATTGACTAAAAGGTGGAGGGAAGTGGCTTTTATGCATTGTTGGATTAAATGGAAGGTTGAGTAAGTGCCCTGCTCCAATCTGCAAATGTTTGCTTTCTGGAAATATCAACACATGTGATCAGATCACATTCAGAGAGTTTGCTTTTTGGAGCAGGTGGATTTTAATCATTTCCTAAAGAGCACTTGCAACTGAAATTGTCTTCTGAGATAAGAGAGTCACCCAGGGGGGTAAACTAGTAGAATAGTTTAATCTGACCAATCAGAACACCTGACCTTTGCTTTGGGGACTGCTCCCATCACCTTACCAAGAGAATCCTAGTGAAGCTTTTTCCGTTCTGATTTTCTGGCCAACATTGTCCCCTAGAATGAAGCACAAACACAGCGGGGGTCAAAGGTGTAGGTAAATGGCCCCTGCTTGAAAATACAGGTCAATATACAGTGAGTCCACTGAGACTAAGTATCTTGGACCCCATAAATCTTCTGAAATATGTCCCAGGCTTGAGTGTCCTCCAATTCTGGAGACCTGGGAGCTGAAGCGAGGCTGAACACCGGGAGTTTGGGAGCGTGACTCAGGCCAGCAGCGCTATGCAGTAGTTGGTACCAAACTGTAGGTTTGTGCTACAACCATCCTTCTGTCCCCTTACCCCACCCGAGCCAAGCCATGAGTCATTCTGAGGGTGGGAATTCCGAGCCAGGATCGCAGGACTACCCCTATCATGAGCAGACCTCTCTCTGCCAGACAGACCCCCATATTACTTGCAGGATGATAGGAGCCACTGGCAGGTGTTTGGGTCTTACGTTTTAAGGTGATGTTTATACCATCATTTCACTTCTCACGGACAATCCACTGTGACCCCAGGCAACATGAACAGCAATACATTATTCTCCGTTCGATCTAGATACAGTTTTACACAGTATTCCCAATATGGAGAGCCTTCATATCTTTTTTTTCCATTTTTTTATTATATGTTTTTTTACAAATAGTTTATTGTCAGTTTGGTTTCCATATAACACCCAGTGCTCATCCCCACAAGTGCCCTCCTCCATGCCCATCTCCCCCCTCCCCCCCCCACCCATCAGTCCTCAGTTTGTTCTCAGCATTCAAGAGTCTCTCATGGTTTGCCTCCCTCCCACTCCCCTATTATTTCCCCCCTTCTTCTCCCCCATGGTCCTCCATTAAGTTCATATCTTTTAACTAACTAAGTAGATATGCTTGATCTGTCCATTGTTAAACTGGATGGAAGGTAACCCTTGAAAGGCCCAAGTTCAACACTAACATTGCTTTAATTGCCTTGGGTAGTTTTGATACAGACTTAGACTACAGGGCCTAATGAGGTTCATCTGTGTCTAATTTCTGTGATTACGGCTTGAGGTAAAACATAGGCAGGAAAAGCTCAGTGTCCATCTTTTTATTTCCCACGTAAATTTTGTTTAATAGATGGTCCAGGTACTTTGTGTTGCCTAATTATTCTATTCTGTTCCTTAGGGGTTGTGGAGGGGGAGGCTGGTTCTCATTATAGACTAGTTAATTCACATGGGAAAATCCAGGCCATCACTCTTTGCTGACATCACCTTCCAGAATGTCTCTACTACCACTTGGCTTTTGTGTCTCAAAAATGTTGGACATAACTCTCTCTAGAGCTGCAGACGATATGTGACACAAACCTTGGCCTTGACTATATTAAAAATACTGGATGAGCCATAAACGTGAAGCGTTATTAGAGTTCACATTTTGTAAAGAATTTCCTTAAAGGAATCAAACAAGACACCAAGATGAGGAGTCAGATTTAGAAATGATCATTTTTGTTAAATGTGACCTTATAACACATTAAACTGCATAACTCAGAATAGACAGTATAAAAAGACATCATTATTGATGTACTAGAAAACCTCCCCATTATAGAAGATGTATTGGATGTAAGGTTTCGAACAGTCTCTAATTCTGGACACTAAAAGTGATTGGCTTGAAAAGGACTCTACTTCTAGAATAGCCTGCACTCCCTAAAAGTCACTGCAGTCCTTGTACTCGTCCCCTTGAAAGGAAGTTAGCAGGTACACATGGTTTATAAATGAGTTTAAATCCAGCAATTTAATGTATGCTGTTTCTGAGTATTAAATGCAAACATCACATCAAATCCAAAGTAAGAGGTTGTGGAAATTATTCCAGGATATGGGATTACATTAGAACAAAGAGCGAGCCATGTGTATAAGTGTGTTACATACATCATGCAACATATTCCTTAGGTAAGTCATTGCTTTGTGTAAGGCATAGGGCCAGGTAGCAGCTATATGAAAATGAGGTACACTTACACTCTTGCAATTGTGTCTGTGTGTGTGAGTTAGTAATCTGACATGATAACCATAGTGAAAGCCATGAAAAATAAAATTTAGCATAATGGAACATTCCATTATGAACACTGCCATCCCGTATCTACAACGCAGTGTTGATCTTCTTTATTTCAGATACAAATTATATTTAATGGGTGAGCCAAGAACTTTGTTTTGCCTGATTACTCTATTCCTTGGGTTATTTTTTTTTAATCCTTAATTTTGTTCTTTCCAATCAACTGTGCTCAAGATCTATTGTGTTTGCTCAGAAATGTGCTTTGTCATATTTGAGAACTTTGGTGTGATATATATTAGTCATTGGGTGGTGTTCCTGCATGAGGCATTTTCAAGTAATCAGTTGGATAGAAGCACATGCTCGCTGTACCAGGCAATCAGTTTCCAACTTGAAGAACCCAGAAACTACATATACGATGGGCAGGATTCACCATTATTAAATTCAGTGGTTAAAAGGTTTTGATCATACACAAATGGACTAATTTTTAACACATGGCAACTACATTAATTAAAAAAAGATGATTAAGGCATTCTTATCTTGCCATCATATGTAACTCATTAATATTTCGAGTTGACTCATTTTCCTAAGTAGTCTTGACTTTTTGGAGTCTATTTTTTCTCTACCAGCGGAGCTACAATGCTCAGCCAAGACAGATTTATGACCTTTTAAAAATAATGATGGAAAATGAGATCGGAGGAAACAGTTTAGTATCTGCTTTGCTCTGAGGCCTAAACTGCGAGCTCTCCAGTTCTTGAAGGCTTTGAAATGCTGATTCCAGTCTTCTTGTGGGTTCTTAAACACCTTCTCAAATGACCCATTTTAATAACCCGAAAGCTATTATATAACGAGCAGCCATAATTTAGTCCAGGGCTCTAGGGGGACCCTCACAGTTCAGCAATGAATAGTTAATGCAGTATAATGTTTAGCAGGTTATTAGTTTTCACTATACAAATGCTGATCAGGGAACGCTTTTATAAGGTGTTTAAAAGAAAATGTAATTAACTGGTTGCGTGCTTCTGTTGCAGCTCAAATTGAAATTATTCCTTGCAAGATCTGTGGAGACAAATCATCAGGAATCCATTATGGTGTCATTACATGTGAAGGCTGCAAGGTAAGCCTTTTTAATTGTAGTTGTTGTTTCTATTAATGCTGGAATGTATCTTTGCAATGTTACTTCTGTTCTGTCTAAAAACGCAACTCCTTGGCATTTTGAGTGATGAGAAATGACAAGACGGAATAAATATTTTGGTGTTAAATTATAATTAAGGAAGTCATATATATTTTTATGCCTTCCATCAAACTAACAGGAAGCTAGAGGAAAGTATTTGAGCATTGCTTGTTTGTCACTTCTAATCCTAGAACTGATTGAACTGATGAACAGTCCCTTTGGTTTTTTGTTGTTTTTGTTTTTTCTTAAAGAATTGGGTGTGGATTTCTGTAGTGCCCCTGTTACAAGCTTTATAAGAAAGTATTTCCAATGGTTTAATCAGAATGTAATCAGAATCTTCTTGCTGGCACACATATGTTGATACATCTGGCCAAATTATGGCAAAGCCACTGGAAAGAACTGGGTTCTGGTCCTAATGCCACCACCGTCCCTCTTGCTTGGACTTGTTTTAATCTTTTAGTGACTCAGTTTCTTCATCTATAGAGTGGGCATAACACCTGTCCTTACCTTTTAGAACTATTCCAAGGATAGAATGAAAAATTGTAAGTAAAAGACCTTACAAACTGAAAAGTGCTATTTAAATTGAAATACTTTCATTCTTACTGCTGTTGTTACTACCTCAATTATCACCGATGCTGATTGAGGGCAGTATGTTCAGCACAGTCATAATGTGAGAATGGGAATAGAGATGTTTATCCTAATCATTCAAGACCTCCAAACCCAGATTGCCTCTGTTATACAAATTTCAATTTATTAAGATTTAAATCCTCTGGCTTTTATTGGAAAGGCCTTGAGACAGCGTACAGGATAAAACAGTGCAAAATAAACAGGCAAGAAGCCATTTAAACATGCAGGAGGCCTCAGAGACAGCTGATTGCCACTGAACCAGGTCGGAATTAGCCCTAACGCGTTTTGAGGCTAAGGCAAAAATAATAATAATAATAATAAAATCCACAAATTTGGTTAGCTTTCCTTCAGTGAAATTAGAAACTACAATGGCATGAAATACAAAAACACCTTCTGATACAAATAACAACTGGGAGACTTCAGGGAAATTTGCCTCATAATTTCCTTAAGTCTTTGTTTTACTCTTAATCATTGTAACATGTGCTGCTTTCTACATGTACAGATGCTCCATATTGATCCCATCTTGGTGATGCTTGAGCTTTCTGCTCACCGCCAAGCACGCTTTTTTTTTTTTTTTTTTTTAATCATCTGCCTTTTAGGAATAAGGGGTTTGCTACTTAAAGGGGATTTTGAATTGTTCAGCGTTATAGCAATCCTCAAGGCCTCAGGTTCTAGATTACCAAGAAAAAAAAAATTACGTCCTTTTACTTCTTCAATTTGCCCTTCCTCAGAATGAATCAATTAAGTAAATAAAAGTAGACAAAATGAAATCAACTGCCTGACCTGTGCCATCCCACGATGTAAGGGAGGGTGGTCTGCCCGTGACACTGATTGCCCCCATTGATTTTCACAGTTCATTCAACTGATGAGGCTGGGCACCTGTCACCCTTCACCGTCCCCCACTCTGTGCTCACACCTTCTCGTCCTGCTGGAAGAAGACACAGTCTTTCTTGGTGAAGGGTATATAGACAGTGCTCCCGACCAGACGTTCCAAGCAAACTTGATATTGTGCGTTGCACAGCACCTAGGCACTTGCAGAAGTGGACCGGGTCCCTAGGCGTTAGTCACGCGTCCCTTCATTCTGCCTGAGAGGCTGACCACTCTCTCTGAGTCTTTTTGTAATGCCACGTGTAGTTTTCTGTGCCTACTAAAATGAATACTTAACAGTGGCATCTGAGGCAGGCCCAGGGTGGAGGTGGGGGTTACCTCATATGAAATACCCCACAGCTCGGAAGATTAATTAACAACATGCTGTTCAGTAAAATCTGAATTGTCTGAGAACCACTGGGTTTCCATAGACATAAACAATGTGTGTTTCCTTTTTACCTCCTATGTTTATTTATGACAAAAATAACAGTGATAAGAAAACAAAGGGCATGAAGGGCCTGGGTGGCTCAGTCAGCTAAGTATCCAATCTCAGCTCAGATCATGATCTCTCGGTTCTTGGGTTCAAACCCCACATCAGGCTTTGCACCAACAGCTTGGGATTATCTTTCTTTCTCTCCCTCTCTCTCTACCCCTCCCCTGCTTATACACTTTCTCTCTCTCAAAATAAATAAATAAACTTAAAAAAAAAAAAAAGAAAGCAAGAGGCAGCTATTATTTTATAGTTACCATTTTTGTAGATTCCCTTCCAGATCTCATACTGCCTCAATGCCAGAGTGGGTTGTTTGGGGGTTTTTTTGTTTTGTTTTTTGGGGGTTTTTTTTGGTTTTGTTTTGGTTATCTGTGGTTCTTTTCTTCTCTCCTATTGACATTATACACTGGAAATCACAAAGATACACAATTAAAACTTAATTTTATTAACAGATTGGGCCTATGCCCAGCCTGGGACCTATGCAGTGGTATGTGTTGATATTTGATGCATATGGTATTTGCTCTGCAATTATAGTTCCTCTCTGCTATAATTAATATTTTTATTTCTAGTTGTGGTGAAGTCGAGAGACTTCTGCTTTTGCCGTTGATGTTAATGATTTATCATGCTCTAACCAGGTGAGGGTGGTTATAGCATCATAAATTATAAATAATTTATCTCCGTGATAGGATCATTAGACATAAGGATAATTTCTAATTATATATATAAATAGATATCTAATGAAAGGAAAGAAAGGGACTCAAGTCATTTTTGGAGCTAATCACTTTGTGAATGTATTTTCAATTGCGTTTTAAAGTCAACCACCTGAAACCATTAGAAACCAGAGACCCTATTTAATTGCTGAAATGATCATTTATTTTACCACATATTTACTTAGGTAAGCATTGCACGTAAACAGCAAAACTGGTAGAAGTTTTGTAGCTGTTTCTCTGGTTCTCTGGTAACCCCAGTCTCCATGTCCCCTTTGCTACCTATGGAGAGACAGGATTGTGTCATACTTATGATCTGACTTTGGAACAAGACTAACAAGACTGCCTGGGTTTGAATCTTATTCTGCTGTTCACTGGCTTGAGCACCCACCCAACTTCTCTGTGCCTCTCTTTCCCCGTCTGTAATATGAAGACAGTAATTGTAGTTATTTCCTGGGGTTATCACATGCACTTAGGTAAAGCACTGAGAAAAATTCCTGGCCTATAACAATCCCTCAGTAAGTGGTGGCTGTTGTTATAATCATTCCTAGCCAAGTTCCACATGCTTGAGTCATGCTACTGTAGTCAACTATCATTTCCAGGACATGTGTGGGTCAAGTCTTGGTTTTATGACCATTTGCTATTTGTTATGCAGACCCTGATAATAAAAACAAAATATGAGAACCACCCCACCTTGGGGCCAGGCACCATTTAAGAACTGTAAGGATCCAAAGACACAGAAGACCTGATCCTTCCCTCAAACAGCTCATGGTCTAGTTGGAGATGAGGTCTGCATAGGAAAAGCTAAATAGCAATGCAAGAACTAAATCCTAGATTTAGTAAACCAGAAAAAAATTTTCAAAGGGCGAAGGAAGTTCAGAAAAAGATCCACCCACATAAGGTCAATTGAATTTTGAAAAGATGCCAGTTTAATTCAATGAAAGAAAGATGGGTCATTTCAAACAATATTGCTGAAACAACTAGACATTCATATGAAAAAGAAAAAAGTTAACTTCACATTTATATCCCTCACTAAAAGCAAATATTAACTTAAAGAATGTACTAAGTGGGACGCCTGGATGGATCAGTGGGTTAGGTGTCTGACTTCGCCTAGGTCTTGATCTCACCATTTGTGAGTTCAAGCCCCACATCAGGCTCTCTGCCTTCAGCACAGAGCCCGCTTCAAGTCCTCTGTGCCCTTCTTTGCCCCTCTCCCACTCACGTGTGCCCACATACACATGCTCGCTCGCTCTCTCCCTTTCTTTCTCTCACTCTTTCTGTCTCAAAAATAGAATAAACCATTTTTTAAGAAAGGGGTCAGAGGGGCGCCTGGGGGGGTCAGTTGGTTACGCATCCGTCTCTGGATTTTGGTTCAGGTCGTGATCTCATGGTTCAGATCAAGCCCCATGTCAGGCTCTGTGCTGACAACACGGAGCCTGCTTGGAATTCTGTCTCTCTCCCTCTCTCTGTATCTCTTACCCCACCCCCTGCCCTACTCACTCTCTTTCAAAATAAATAAACATTTTTTTTTTAAAAAAGAGGAAGAACAAAAAGAATATCCTATGTGAGAGACATAATGCTGTATTATTTCTAGAAGGAATCATATTTTTGTTAACAGTAGACATATAGATATTTCCTCAGACCACACGCTGAAGTCTTTACCTTATTTTAAAAAATAATAAATTGGACTTCATCAAAATTAAAAACTTGTGCCCTTCAAAAGCTATCATTAGTAAAATGAAAAGGCAAGCCATATACTGGAAGAAATAAAAGAAAAAAAAACATTTTAAAAGAAATAAAAGAACAAAAATAATAAAAAAGAACAATAACTCGAACAATGTCTTCACAAAACCTGGACAAGAAGCCAATAAATACATGGACACATTCTCAAGATCTCTAATCATTAGGGAAATGTAAATAAAACCACAGGGAAATACCATGACATAGTCACTCTGAAAGGCTAAAATTAAAATAGTACAAAACAGCAGCAAGCAGAAGAAGAACAAAAACTCTGCCAATAACAAACCTGATGAAGATGCAGACAAACTGGTGCATTTTCCAGTCTTCTGCATTCTGGGCCAGAATGCACCTCTGAAAGAAGGTGGCATATGATAACCATCAAACTAACATGTGACCTAAAGCCCGATCATAGGTGTTTACCCAAAAGAAGCACAAGCACCTGTCATAGAAAGACTTTTATATGAATATTTGTAGCACCTTTATTCACAATGTCCATAAAGCTTTGGAAACAA